TGTAGCATAGCTCTCAACGAATGTAGTCCTGTAAATAAAGAAATTGCGTAATAAAATGCCTCTGGCGGGACTCGAACCTGCGACCTCTCGCTGTTAAGGCGAGTGTCATAACCACTAGACCACGGAGGCTTCATGGTTGAACAGATTCAAATACCACCAGATACACTCTATTACACAATAGGTACGGCTAGAAACAAATAGGTACATGCCTTTGCTGTTTCCTCTGTAATCCAAGGGGATTGTAGTTTATTTGCTTTAATTCGCAATCTTTTTCATGAAAGAATCTGTCAATTGCATTATTTAAAATATTAATAAAAATTTGATATATGTCATTTGCATCATTTCCGTTTAAAACATCATTCCATTGGTTATTTTGTAGCTCTTGTACAAAACAATCAATTTGGTTAGGGGAATATTCACGTTTATATATATATATATATATATATATATATATCGAGAGCATTTTTTGTTATACTTTTCCATTGTATCCACACAAAATATGGGAAAATGGTCCGATATATCAGTGATAAGAATTCCACTTTCAAGGGGCATTGTACAAGAGTCGCTATTACGATAAATATCGTCAATTATAGAAGCGCAATTATCAGATAATCTAGTGGGACTGCATATTATAGGCTGAAATAAATTAGAAAAGGACAGTGTTATCAGAAGATTGGTGAAGTAGATTTACAGTATGTTATGGTCTCTAGTTAGGTAACATTTTTTTCTTTCTAAATTTATTTTTTGCATTACGTTTGATAATTCTTCATTAAATTTATGAAAGCAGTTTGTAGGGGTCCTATAAAGTATACCACATATAACTTGATGTCCCGATTCTATACAAATTGATAGATCATTTCTAATGATATAGCGTAATTTGTTAGTGACATAAAATGCTACTCCACCACCTCTTCTGTTATTTCTATCTTTGTGGATCATGCTGTAGCCAGGTAACCGATACAGGTTTGTATTGTCTTTTTTAGTTAACCAGGTTTAAGACAAGGCAATGACAGAAAATATGTGGTCAAGTGAGTTTATGTAGTTAGAAATCATATCAAACTTATTGACCATACTTCTACAATTTAAACCAAATATAGAAAAATTAGTGTTTAAGTTGGATTGACTAAATTTAGAAATAAATTTATCTTCATCATAATATTCAGTGTTAATAACAGTGTCTTCTGAATAATCAAAGTACATTAAGTTCAAATCAATAAATAATGATAATAAAAATATAAGTATTTCTTAGCATACGATCTTACTGTTTTGTTAAACTATCGTATTCTACAACGCTAGGAGAATTAAGAAATGGTAGATTCCAGAAATGTGCAGATTTATGACGTCATCATTTTGGTAATGGATTTAAGGCTGTTTAAGGTAAGGTTAATGTGGCATATTATTGAAATTTTAATACAATTTTACAACACTTCATAATAATAATAGGTAATGTGATTATAACTTAATAATTTTCACGGATACCGAGGTGAGTCGCCAGCTGTCACTGTACAATAACATAGTATCTTCGGTACATTAAAAAAAACTGACAGCCTACCTTGGTTGCATGCTACTAGCTCGATAACCTGTAAAAACGTATGCCTTCATTGCATCCCTGTCTAAGATTAAATCAAGGAGGAAACAAACTAAGCCAGACACTACATTAACTAGTAGAACAATTCTTAGATTGGGATGAACTCAAGACCATTCTCAAAAAGTGCTGCCAAACATGTCTTTGGTAGAAAGAAGAAAAGAAGTGAAGACTGGTATGATGACAAAGATGAAGCTATTCAACAGCTCCTGAAAGACAAAAAACTAAGTGGTGACAAAAAGGCACTTAGAGAAGAAATTCGAAAGAAAAAATGGTTTTAGCAAAAAGCAGATGAAGTAGAACAACACTTTCAGCAAAAGAATCAAAGGGAGTTTTATTTATCAATCAATGCTGTGTACAGCCCTAAATCCAAAAGAGTGCATCCAGTTAAGACCCAATGTGGCAAGCTTCTTTAACCCACTGCTGAAATCCAGGACAGATGGGTGGAACACTTTGATGAGCTGCTTAACCAACCAACTGATGTGGATTTTGACATACTTGATAAGCCTGAGCAGCAACCAATTGTTATGGAATTAATTTGATGAACCTGTCAAAATGAAAGTTCAAAAGGCCTTTGGAAACACCAAAGTTAGTCCAGCCAAATGGCATACTGCCAGAGGTCCTTGTTCATGGAGGAAGCAGCCTCAAAACTCCTCTACTTGCCATCTTCAACCCATCCTGGGACACACTGGATTTTCCCCCTGATGTGCTAGACACAAACACATGCATATTGTATAAGAAGGGCGACAGAAGTCAGTGTAGAAACTACCATGGGATCTCGTAGCTCAGTTCTGGTGGTAAAATCTTTGCTGACATCCTTCTGCAGCATCTACAACTGTTGGCAGGGAAGATATATCCTGAGTCGCAATCTGGATATCGAAGCAGCAGAAGCACAATTGATGGCATCTTCACTCTGAGGCAGGTAATGTAGAAAAGTAAGGAACAGCGGAGAGACTTACACATTACTTTCATTGACTCTACTAAAACCCTTGACAATGTAAATCGTGACCTCCTTTACAAGATTCTTGGTAAGCTAGGCTGTCCAGCAAAATTTATCGGCATCATCCAGAAGTCGTATTTAGATGTGCAAGCCAGGTTGATTATAGATGGTGAGCTGTCACAGTCAATCAACTACAACAATGGTGTAAAGCAAGGATGCAAGCTTTCGCAGAGATCATTGCATGCATACAAGCTGCGTCATGTGCTGTAGGAAAATTAAGTCAGAGAGTCTTTGCTACCTGAGTTTGTCATCCCTTTGCTGTTTTGTATGGTAGCGAGACCTGATAATAATGATAATAATAATAATAAATAATAATAATAAATAATAATAAATAATAATAATAATAATAATAATAATAATAATAATAATAATAATAATAACTTTATTTTCAAACGGAAAAACCTGATTCACAAAAAATGTGTTTTTAGCAAGGCCGTTTTCACTTAACATCAACAAAATACAAATTTATATAACAATAAAAAATACAAAAGTATAGTAATATACTGTATATAATAACAAAACTAAATTAACATACTACATGTTATGAAAAGATCTACTGTATGTACGGTACAAAAGTTACAACAAAAATGAAATTAATGTACACAAAATTACATTGTGCAATTTAAAAACTAAAAATTGGTTTTATTTAGGAAGAAAAGTTAATGTATACTGTACATTTTTATTTCAAAGTACTAAAAAGTAACTTTGTGAAAGAAGAGCTGCAAGTTGTTTTATACAATATCTATTATTATTTTTAGTTTTCTATTAGTTGGTTGTTTATTAATCTTTTAAATATATTTATGTTAGAGGCAGTTATTGCATTTGGGTTTATATAATTTAGATTATTCCAGATATTGGCACCATAGTAGGAAAAACTTCTTTTCTCACATTCAGTTTTTGGTTTATAAATGCTTAAAATGTCTTTGGATCTAGTATTGTAAATTTGTTCGCGTTCATTAAATCTGTTTCTTAAGTAGGATGGTGTCAAGTTATTTGTTATTTATATACATAGTTACTGCTCTCCTGTGATATTGTTTCTTTTCCAGATTTAGCCAATTTAGTCTCTTAGTGCTTGTGAGCTGGAGTCATATCTAGATGTTCGCATTATTATCTTAGCAGCTTTTTTTTAGCTCTATTTTGTAGCAC